TATAGAGTCCGATACTGATTTTTCACACAGGAGTCAGAAATAAAGAGGACGAACACGATCCCTGGTAATTGGTTTTACTGTTATTCCAACCAAAACAATGAAGCATATTTTCCAGAAGTATTTCTCTACTTTATTCCCGCCGTGATATACATCTTATATTTTCCAACATTGAAAAGTTTCAGTCCAACATCCATGTCCTTCTTGCATAATATCCAGTTATTATGACATGATTTATTGTTTGTTGAAAATACGGTGAATTGATTATTTTTTTAAAAAACATGAGTATATTAGAAATGATGTCAAAATATAGGTTATTCACTGTTGGAATGTGCTCTTCTTTTGGAGAGTATGGGTAAGTTTGTCTTGCCTTATCTGTAATAACAATATATTGTCAAAGATCTCGAGCTCATATCACAAAATGTCCACAAGAGGAACGAGTCGTTGAAGCTACAGTACCCGTTTAAGAGACAATACGTCAGTCACCGAATCTTACCAACATGACATAAAAAAGGTAGGTAAATAGACTCGACAGCCTATGTTAACATAACCTGATTTAGGCTTCGAAGGTGCACTCGCTGTAACCTGATAGATATGAATGGTGGCCAGCCAAGCGAATAGATTTCGCCCGCATTGGACAATGCCCAATACATTCCCAAACGCGGTTTCAACATAAGCTCCTGCTTTGTAAGCCAGTCTACCATAAGAAGTTGTATTCAGTGGATTAATTTCGTTCATAAATATTGTTATGACACAAATCGTTTATAGAAAAATCAGGTAGAACATGTCAAATACAAAACACTGTTACTTTCGCTAAACTAGTATTTTCTAACATAGCTGAGTCTGTTTTCTTAGAAACCGAATTTGAGCTTTGTAAGACTAAAAAATAAAGCTGCGAGGATTTTAATTAGAACAATAATCAGCATATCCTCTTTTTAAGTAATTCTTATATTATTATGAAAACTGGGGTCGTTGGATTTAGGAGATGATGATGACAGTCTAGATGAAGAAATCACAGTAAAGCATGGCTTGCTTGACTATCTTGATTTGTCCACCACAAGGGATTCGTATCTCAACGCATGATCAATCAGTACCCTTTTACAAATTTAAGCTACCGTTTAATCATTTCTTTGTTTTAACAGGAAGTACAGTGCATTGTTTAACAATTAGTAAATTATGTCATTAACGAAAATTGTAAGGGGCTGCATCGTCGTTAGGGGTTGAATTACCATAAAAAAAATGGCCCCTCGTACGGTGATCTTCCTTTTTTGCTGGTTATCTATAGACTGGTTTAATATTATATACTGTCTAATAATATTCAAAGCGTTTAATACTCTTAAATACCTTATTCTAGCCATTATATGGCCGATAAACTACCATTTTAACACACTCACTCAATCAATCACTCACTCCAATGTGCTTGCAGGTAGGGAAGTATGTTTTACGGATTCTTTTATTAACATATATTCTTCATACATTCTAGATTTCAACTAAAACTGATCAAGAACTGCAACACGGAACAGAACCAAGATCTATTCAAATTGCCATCACAATGAAGATCATCTGTGGCCTTATCCTGACACTAACTGTGACCTCTTCTACAAGCCAGAAGACATGTCAAATAAAGCCAGACCCCCAGCTTGGTGGCAGCCGTGTTGACTGTCAGAACCTCAACCTTACCTCTGTTCCTGGTGATCTCCCTCCCAACACTGTCAGTCTGGATCTCAGCGGGAACAACATAACGGTTCTCAGGGACCAGGCGTTTGTGCGTCTTCCCCGATTGTTGTATTTGAACATTGTAAACAGTCAAGTATCACGGTTGGAAGCAAACGCATTTAAAAGTTTATTCCTCCTTCTCAGTTTACGCCTTAATAACAATAATCTCCAACTGGACAATCACACCTATCCAGAAGATGTCTTCCGTCCTCTACAAAGTCTTACAGAGTTGAACATTGGTAAAAACGACTGCCGACTGAGAGGAACTACTCCGGATTGGGTATTCAAATGGTTAATAAATTTAGAAACACTGACAATCGATACATTTGAATATGAAATATTTGGACGTGGATTTGGGTATTTGCAAAAACTGGTAACATTGAATATTGGAACTGGATCAAAAGGTGATTGTATTCACGGTGCTATTGGCGCCATACAAAACCACACATTCTCCGTTTTTGAGAATACATCTGTTCAGGTGTTGGATGTAAAAGATTCCAAACTTCTAGCAATTCATGCTGGAGCATATCTACCTTTCAAAAATATTTCCAAAATAGTTCTGGAAAACGTAATGACCTTACCAACTGCTATGGCTCTACGTGCGTTCTATGGCCTTAATGGTAAAAACGTATCTCAAGTTCTCATGAGAAATTCCAACAAGTATGTTAGTCGAAATCGAAACCTTCAAAGCCAGCTTATAACCAAGGAAACACTAATTTATCTGACACATATTTGCATCGAACATCTGGATCTCAGCTATAGCCACATTATTTACCTTGACGAAAATTTAATACTTGTCCTTTCGCATTGTATTAAATATCTAGATTTATCAAATAACAATATTTTGGGGGATCCATTTATATTTTTCCAAATTAGTGTATGTAAAAATCTTTATTTTTTAGATTTTTCTGACCAATACACATTTAACAGCCACATGTATAACTCAGGAGAAGGCAATCTAGACTCTAAGTTTAAAGTGACTCAAAACAGACTTCATACTCTTATCAGGCACATGCCTGTTTCAGAAAATAGTTCTGTACCAAAGTTAGAATCAGTAGGGATGGAAATACGTTTTCCTCCTAATCTACGTATCTGTATGTTGAGGGGAATGTTTACTCACCTCGGGAGGTTTTTTATAACGGGTATTACAGGTTCGTCACATTTAGCAAAATTAGATCTGTCCTACAATGGAGCATGGGGCCTTGTGAAGCAAACTAACGGGTTGAGATCCCTGAATAAAATTGATCTTTCTGGAAATGAAGGTTGGGGTATGACAGACGACTTCTTGCAGTCTTTTCCAAATCTGACGTCTCTTGCATTGAACAATATGGGCTTCGACGAAGACACACTCAGAAGAGGAGGGTCAGTACTGGAGGGACTAAAGACGATGCATGCTTTACGTTATTTAGATATAGTAGGGAATGACATACGGTATATGGATATGGGTTCCATCAGGACACTGATCAGTCTGAATGTGTCCAGAAATAACCTTGTGTCTGTTCCTTTTGAACACAATGACCTGCCTGACCTGCACATCCTGGACCTATCAGTGAACTCCATCACCTACTTTGACGATGACACAATGGATATGTTGGAGAGTCTCGGACAGAAGAACAAGCTGGTCCTGAGGCTGAAGGGAAACCCTCTCTCCTGCTCATGCCAGTCTCTCTTGTTTGTTCGGTGGATATTTTCATCGTCGGTTACCTTTGACAGCAATGGGAACTATTCATGTGTTACTGAATATGGTGCTCTTACAACAACCCACACAGTGTACAACGAGTTTAATTACCACTGGACTTCATGTCAAGGTCGATTTTGGCTGCCAGTCTCCATAACACTGATATGTTTAATAGCTCTTCTACTTGTGTCTGCCATGCTGGTGTCACGGAACTGGACAAGGATTGCACATCACATTTTGGTCCTCATGGGTCGTGGGATCCAGCGGGTCACTAGACAAAACTTCAACAAAGATGCTTACGTAGCCCACTCGGATGAAGAGCTTCAGTTTGTAATGCAAAATCTACGTATAGGACTGGAGGATCTACTTGGACTGGAGCTTATTCTGCCCCACAGAGATTTCCTACCTGGTCAGTTTGTAGCTGACCATGTTGTAGAAAGCATTAACAAAAGCTGGAAGACAGTACTGGTTGTGTCCGACGATTTCCTGGATGACCCCTGGTCCTACTTTATCATTAAGTCAACAGCTTACTACATTTCCAACCTCAACCCTAACAGAGTGATTCTGCTCATGGTGGGAAACGTGAACCGTGGTCGACTTCCTGAACTGCTGCTGAATGTAACGGACGAGGAGGATATCATTGAACTTGATGACTTTCCTGATCCTCACAGTGATGTATGGGTCCATGTAAGGGACAGAATTCTGACACAAGCAGTATAGGTTGAATGCCAAATATGTCACTGACTAAAACCCTTTTTGTGTAGTATAAATCATCTGGTTCTGTCATATCCGAACAATGTTATATGTTTGACCCTTTGCTTAATTATTGTTGTATTTTGTAACGACAAATGTATGTTTGATGATAGTTAGAGTTAGTTCCCTTTGCCCATACCTTACTCATATTTAATTGGAGTTAGTCGCTGAGCTGGGCGTCGAAGCTTTGGACGTGAGACTGAGTGGAACCGCCTTGGGTGAAGATCATGGTGGTAATAGCTTGCACGATGGGTTTCAAGCCTGGTCACGGTCAGATGCAACGTGGAAATGATCCAGCTGGTCCTCCCAGTTGCATGAATGTAGATTTTTGGGTTTGGGTTGTTGTTTAACGCCGCACTCAGCAATATTCCAGCTACATGACGGCGATCTGTAAATAATCGAGTCTGGACCAGACAATCCAGTGATTAATATCGTGAGCATCGATCCACGCAATTGGGATCGATGACATTCATCAACCACCGGACCCCGTTAGTCGCCTTTTACGCTAAGCATAGTCACCTTCTACGGCAAGCATGGGTTGCTGAAGACCTATTCTAACCAGGAATCTTCACGTGTCGCATGAATTTAGAACACAAGGTAGATTGGAGGCAAAATACTGAAGCCTGAGTCCTGGGAGAGGCCCTAATAGAGATTATAGTTTGGAGAGTGAGTGAGTGAGTTTGATTTTACGCCGCTTTTAGCAATATTCCAACAATATCACGGCGGGTGACACCAGAAATGGGCTTCACACATTGTACCCATGTCGGGAATAGAACCCGGGTCTTCGGCGTGACGAGCGAACACTTTAACCACTAGGCTGCCCCACCCCTCCACGACTTTGAGCTTACGGTTTAAATAACATTCGTTCGAACACAATCTTCTCAAGGGGTGCATGATATTTTATTGACCATGAATTTTACAATTAACTCAATTTTAACTGACAACGAAATTTGAAATTGTCGAATTGTTAGCCTCTTTAGCTTGGTTGCTTCTCGCTTAACCTTCACTATTTGGCAAGTCTGGCTTATCTTGACAAAGATCAGGGACACACGGCTTTCTCGAAATTTGCTTCACTTTAGATGTTGTCTGAAAATTTAAAAAAAAAGAAGTTAATTTGTAAACAAAATAGGCCAACTTCCTCAAACACAAAACAATAGCTCACATATGCGTGTTTATCGACGGAAACTAATAAAATATCATGTATGATGTTATTTATCTGAAGAACGGGGTGGTGGGGTAGCCTCGTGGTTAAAGCATTCGCTCCTCGGGACACAGGTCTGGGATCGATTCCCCACATGCATATGGGTACAATGTTTGAAGCCCATTTGTGGTGTCGCCCGCCCTGGTAATGCTGGAATATTGCTTAAAGTGGCGTCATACCCACTATCCTGAAAAAGGGGGATACTTCATTCATTTGTACACACACATACACACACACACACACACACACACACACACACACACACACACACACACACACACACACACACGAGCGACATTAAACCCCATTTCACCCCCACCTCATCAGATTACACGACCCCTGATTCAACGCATTGTATCACCTACCACCGTGAAAACGTCCTGAACACTCCGAAGAGCTCGGTTTGGCTTTAGGAACTGCATTGTCCATGCATTTTGTGTCGGCGAGGAGACCTTGACCTCGCACATGTGGACTCGGCTTTGACGGAGGGCAATTTTCTTTTTCCATGACGTCATCACCTACATAATTACAACGACTGAATGTGAACACAGGGAGCATTTACGTTTAAATCTTCCTCAAATTTCCAAACGAAAGAATTCATTTCACCCTGAGATCATGATTGTGATTAGTGTCATGTTCTTTCCAGCCCCGGGAGCAGGGGTGGCCCAGTCGTCTAAGGCGCCGCGATTCGCTGTGCAGCGTTGCGTCCCTTGGGCACGCCAGAAACCTATGATTTCGGGTTCGAATCCCGGTTCGCCCCGATTATGTTTCTAGGTTTGTCAGCACCATACCCGTGCTCGTGGGTTTCACCGAAGTGGTAAACGTCCGAGTCCTGCATCACTTCGGGCTTTCCTCCCACATTAAGCTGACACGCCGTGATATGACTGGAATACTGTTAAACGCGGCGTAAACCCAACTCACTCATTCACTCATTGCAAAGGGGACAAACATCCACAGGGAGGAGACAAACAGCTACACCAACATCCACACAGGGGAAACAAACATCTACATGGAAGGGGACAATTTAAACATCCACACAGAAAGGGACAAACATCCACACGGAGGGGACAAACATCCACACGGTGGGCACAAGCATCTACACGGAGGGCACAAACATCCACAGGGAGGGCACAAACATCTACACGGAGGGCACAAACATCCACGCGGAGGGCACAAACATCCACAGGTAGGGCACAAACATCCTGACGGAGGGGACAAACATCCACACGGAGCGGACAAACATCCACACAGTGGGCACAAACATCCACACGGAGGGGACAAACATCCACACGGAGCGGACAAACATCCACACAGTGGGCACAAACATCCACACGGAGGGGACAAACATCCACACGGAGCGGACAAACATCCACACAGTGGGCACAAGCATCCACACGGAGGGGACAAACATCCACACGGAGGGCACAAACATCCACACGGAGGACACAAACATCCACACGGAGGACACAAACATCCACACGGAGGGCACAAACATCCACACGGAGCGGACAATCATCCACACAGTGGGCACAAACATCCACACGGAGGGCACAAACATCCACGCGGAGGGCACAAACATCCACACAGACGGCACAAACATCCACACGGAGGCCACAAACATCCACACGGAGGCCAAAACATCCACACGGAGGGCACAAACATCCACACAGTGGGCACAAACATCCACACGGAGGCCAAAACATCCACACAGTGGGCACAAGCATCCACACGGAGGGCACAAACATCCACACGGAGGGCACAAACATCCACACGGAGGACACAAACATCCACACGGAGGGCACAAACATCCACACGGAGCGGACAATCATCCACACAGTGGGCACAAACATCCACACGGAGGGCACAAACATCCACGCGGAGGGCACAAACATCCACACAGACGGCACAAACATCCACACGGAGGCCACAAACATCCACACGGAGGCCAAAACATCCACACGGAGGGCACAAACATCCACACAGTGGGCACAAACATCCACACGGAGGCCAAAACATCCACACAGAGGGCACAAACATCCACACAGACGGCACAAACATCCACACGGAGGCCACAAACATCCACACGGAGGCCAAAACATCCACACGGAGGGCACAAACATCCACACAGTGGGCACAAACATCCACACGGAGGCCAAAACATCCACACAGTGGGCACAAACATCCACACGGAGGCCAAAACATCCACACAGAGGGCACAAACATCCACACAGACGGCACAAACATCCACACGGAGGCCACAAACATCCACACGGAGGCCAAAACATCCACACGGAGGGCACAAACATCCACACAGTGGGCACAAACATCCACACGGAGGCCAAAACATCCACACAGTGGGCACAAACATCCACACGGAGGCCAAAACATCCACACAGAGGGCACAAACATCCACACGGAGGGCACAAACATCCACACAGGGGCACAAACATCCACACGGAGGGCACAAACATCGACACGGAGGGCACAAACATCCACATGTTGGGCACAAACATCCACAAGGAGGGGACAAACATCCACACGGAGGGCACAAACATCGACACAGAGGCCACAAACATCCACACGGAGGGCACAAACATCCACATGTTGGGCACAAACATCCACACGGAGGGGACAAACATCTACACAGAGGCCACAAACATCGACACGGAGGGCACAAACATCCACATGTTGGGCATAAACATCCACACGGAGGGGACAAACATCCACACGGAGGCCACAAACATCGACACGGAGGGCACAAACATCCACATGTTGGGCACAAACATCCACACGGAGGGGACAAACATCCACACGGAGCGGACAAACATCCACACGGTGGGCACAAACATCCACACAGAAGGCAACAATTATCTTCACGGAGGGCACAAACATCCACACCTAGGCAACAAACATCCACACGGAGGGCACAAACATCCACACGAAGGCAACAATTATCTTCACGGAATGGGACAAACTTCTACACGGAGGACACAAACTCACGTCTTCATTGAGTAAACAGTGGAAGATGAGTACCAGCATCCCCTGCAATATACCGAAACAAGAGTTACTGTTATCTGAAAAGTAAACAACGTCATCAATTACTTCAGCTCGAGAGCATCATGCAAGATGCAGAGGTACTGTCCCACCTAGTATTCTGGAGGTTATGATACGGCAGTTTTCATATCACACTCAGTATCAACCCATATCAACCCGAGGCCCAGAGGGTGAGTGAGTGAGTGAGTATGGTTTTATGCCGCGTTTAGCAATATCCCAGCAATATTACGGCGGGGGACACCAGAAATGGGCTTCACACATTGTAATATGGGGGTCGGGAGTTGATATGGGGTATGATAGGAAACTTTCCATCATACATCAAACTGTAAAATGTATCCATTTCTAAAAAAAATCCTTCAAATCCTTCATAACGTAACTCAGTCTTTAAAAAGTATATTATCAAAGAAGATCAAATAGGTCCTGACTAGCTTCATGTCGCTGTTTTACGCACCGTGCTCGTTTTTCACCATGTTCACAAAACATTCGTTATCCTCAGGTTTATCCAAGATAGCCCTAGGTCCATAATTCTATTTGCAAGCGCATGCAATACGTTTTCACCTTGTCCGAGAGCTTGACGAGCATGCGAGCAGACGACACACGAAGGGACGTAACTCCAGTTTCTCACCAGCCGGTTCGATACCTCACATTCAGTAATATTAAAGCTATAAGACATCAACCCGTCAAATATCTCGTCAAACCCGTGATTGATATCATGAGCAACGCCCACACTGCCACGGTGCGATGACATGAATCCACAAATTCCCCAAGCCATCATGTCCGCCTTTCGACATGCACAGGTTGTTTCCGATCATGCGCATTGGTAATCGACCCTTTCTAAACTGGACCACGTGAAGAGTGCCGTTGAACACGACAACCTTGGCGCAACGACGGTCGTAAGTCTATGTTAAGGTATGGGAGTTACGCTCACCTTAGCGCTTAGATCGCTTTGTACAACGGCACACAAGGTTGTCCTCAGCAAGTCCATCTTCCCGAGGCAAGAGAGTTTACTGTCTTTAAAAGTCCAGTTTCCGGCCTTGCCGAACTAGGCTGGAATTCCTGGGATCGATCGTAGCGCCACCAGTGGCTATTACGAGTTATGTCCTTTCTATGCCTCTCCTATTGACCAATCAGATTCAACCTCTCGCATCACTTGCATTTGCTTCAAACAAAACGGTGGCGCCCAGTCAAGACGGTCTGATCGATAATGAAAATCTATATTGTGATAAAACGAGTCTTACAACGCGAAGAGCATCAAATCACGTGAGCTCCTTGATTAAAAACATGAAAAGATTTAGAAAATATCTGTTGACAATGAGTTAGCGGTGCACATGCTTTGCAAATCCCGCAGACGACCGAAATCTCCATGACACTTTACGAACCGGATTTCGATTTCGGTGCGCGATTTTGATTGGACTATGCATAGACTCGTTAGTCCAGCCAAAATGTAACTCCATAGTACCAGCCTAGTTCGGCAAGGGCGGAAACTGGACTTTTATAGTCAGTTAACTCACTTGCCTCGGGAAGATGCAGCAAGTCGTACTGTCATGGTTGTAAGAGGCGACCAACGGATGGTCAGGCTCACTGACTTGGTTGATGCATGTCATCGTATCCCGTATTGCCTCGGCCAATACTCATGATGTCAATCACTGGATTGTCTGGTCCAGACTCAATTATATACATACAGACCGTCGTCATATTGCTGGAAAACTGCTGAGTGGGGCTTTTACAACAAACGACTGATACATTAAACTATTCGGGGCGGGTGTTTTGTTTGTTTGTTTGTTGTTTAACGCCGCACTCAGCAACATTCCAGCTATATGACGGCGGTCTGTAAATAATCGAGTCTGGACCAGACAATCCAGTGATTGATATCATGAGCACCGGCCCACGCAATTGGGATCGATGACATGCATCAACCAAGTCAGCGAGCCTGACCACCCGATCCCGTTAGTCGCCTTTTACGACAAGCCTAGTCGCCTTTTACGGCAAGGCAAGCATGGGTTGCTGAAGACCTACTCTACCCCGGATCTTCACGGGTCGGGGCGGGTGAAATCCCCGGGGGTACCTGCAGTCCGTTCAGCAGGGTGAAGAGGTACTGGAAGATGACGGTGGAGCTGTTCACAGCAAACACCCCCACAATCCACGTCGGCCCCAACAGTGGGAGGAGTATGACGCAGGCCCGGATGTTGGACCTGCAGACAGATGAATGTGATCATTGAATGAGTCAGTGAGTTTTTACGCCGCTTTTAACATCACCAGAAATGGGCTTCACACCTTATACCCATGTGGGCAATCGATCCCGAGTCTTCGGCCCAACCACCCACTTGAGTTAGAGGTGTTTTGAACAAAACATATATATTCATGTTACTTTTCAAAATCCACATTTTCCTTTACGAACACAGTTTCATCCATGTGGAGGGGGTACGGGTGGCCCAGTCGTCTAAGGCGCCGCGATTCGCTGTGCAGAGTTGCGTTCCTTGGGCACGCCAGAAACCTATGATTGTGGGTTCGAATCCCGGTTGGCCCCGATTATGTTTCTAGGTTTGTCAGCCCTATATCCGTGCTCGTGGGTTTCACCGAAGTGGTAAACGTCTGAGACCTGCATCACTTCGGGCTTTCCTCCCACATTAAGCTGACATGCCGCGATATAACTGGAATAATGTTAAAAGCGGCGTTAAACCCAACTCACTCACTCACTCACTCATCCATGTGGAGGACACTTCCAAATTTGAAGCCACAGTGAGAAAAATGATGTCCGATGTAATTCCCTATTTTGACTTGTTCCATATGGTCCCGTGGTTTTTTTTCAGGTGAACGATTCACTTGCCTTTGCATGTATTTGTGATGGGTGCCACCTGTGAGGAGGAAACGCTCACCTTTTCGCGAACACCTGGTACTATTGCTATTCAGCGTTAGAAACTAACAGTTTTCGTCCACTAGTCCTTATAATGATAACGTATAGCAAAACTACGGAAGCCTTTTAGGGACATTTGTTTTTGTATTTTCTTTCGATACTATCTTGAAATTACAAGAAACTAAGTTGAAATTTCAAGATACTATCTTGAAATTTCAAGATACTATCTTGAAATTTCAAGATACTAAGTTGAAATTTCAAGATACTATCGAAAAATAATTATTAAAAAAATTGCCCTACAAGGCTTCCGTACAAAACCCTTAAAAGGGGCAAATTTCTACTAGTCCTTCGATACCTTAACCATTGGGCAGTTTGGCAAAGACTATAGGACCAGTGCCAATTTCTAACCCTGCTATTTGATAGTGACTCATAAACATGTGTTCATGATATAGTCTTTATGCAGGGATTCCTATTGGAAAGGGTTTTGGCGCTTTATTTGGCGCAATATTCATAAACATGTTCCTTCTATGAGGAGTGTGGACCAGACCATGCAGTGATCAATATTGTGAGCAACTTTCCACGTCGTCGGGTACGAACACACGCAAACAACCAAATCACTGACCGAGACCACTCAATCCGTTTGGTCGCCTCTTTCGACCAACCCGGAATCCTTTAGCTTTACTGAGGAACACCTCCGTGAAGATCCGGGGTAAAAATAGGTCTTCAGCAACCCATGCTTGTCGTAAGAGGCGACTTTGTTTGTCATAAGAGGCGACTTTGCTTGTTGTAAGAAGCGACTTTGCTTGTCGTAAGAAGCGACTTTGCTTGTCGTAAGAGGCGACTTTGTATGTCGTAAAAGGCGACTTTGCTTGTCGTAAGAGGCGACTTTGTTTGTCATAAGAGGTGACTTTGCTTGTCCTAAGAAGCGACTTTGCTTGTCGTAAGAAGCGACTTTGCTTGTCGTAAGAAGCGACTTTGCTTGTCGTAAGAGGCGACTTTGCTTGTCGTAGGAAGCGACTTTGCTTGTCGTAAGAAGCGACTTTGCTTGTCGTAAGAAGCGACTTTTCTTGTCGTAAGAGGCGACTTTGCTTGTCGTAAGAAGCGACTTTGCTTGTAAGAAGCGACTTTGCTTGTCGTAAGAGGCGACTTTTCTTGTCGTAAGAAGCGACTTTGCTTGTCGTAAGAAGCGACTTTGCTTGTCGTAAGAAGCGACTTTGCTTATCGTAAGAGGCGACTTTTCTTGTCGTAAGAAGCGACTTTGCTTGTCATAAGAGGCGGCTGGTCAGGACACATTGCCTGACAGATGTTTCATCCAAGCTTAGACAAATGCGGCCATGAGCAAGTCAACACTCTACAGCAAAACAGAACATGTTGAGGTCACTTCAAGATATCCCTCGTGGGGATTCCGGGTTAGGCTAAGGCCCCAGCAACCAATGCTTGCCGTAAAAGGCGACTAACGGGATCGGGTGCACAGGATCTCTGACTTGGTTGATGCATGTGGTCGTAATCCAATTGCATGGACCGATGCTCATGACATCAGTCATTCGGTTGTCTGGTCCAGACTCGATTATTTACAGACCGTCCTCATAAAGCTGGAATATTGCTGAGTGCGGCGTTAAGCAACAAACAAACTGGGGAACACCATGACTAACGCTACACCAAGAATTGTCACATGTTGCTGGCCTCTGGCAGAGGTACTAGGCAGGCTGCAAGGAACGTAAGACAGTGTCAACTATTAAATTAGCCTGGGGGATCTAGACAAATTACTGACTGAGGTGTTTTTTATACAGTCTATATGTATTTACTATTAATCTACACCTTTCTCTCGTCATGATATGGCTGAAATATTGCCGATTTCGAAAACTGGGGCGTAGCTTTCAAAAGTGCAGGCAGCAATTGAGACCGGTTGGGATATCAGTGAGTGAGTGAATGAGTGAGTATGGTTTTACGCCGCTTTTAGCAATATACCATCAATATCAGGGCGGGGGACACCAGAAATGGGCTTCACACATTGTACCCATGTCGGGAATCGAACCCGGATTTTCGGCGTGACGAGCGAACGCATTAACCACAAGGCTACCCGACCGCCCCTGGTTTGGATATCAGCTTCTATACCTGTGATGTAGAACTCTGCGACTTGCAGCACTCTTTTCTCGAATATAAAAAACTGGGGGCAAAAGAAAGTATACTGAGTGGGTTTAGTATGTAATTAAAAATTGATACAGGATATTTACCATCTCAGTCAAGGCTCGCTGAATACATTGTTTATTCCCAATGCAGGATATTTACCATCGCAGTCAAGGCTGGCTAAATACAATGTTTATGCCGAATGCAGGATATTTACCATCTCAGTCAAGGCTGGCTTAATACATTGTTTATTCCGAATGCAGGATATTTACCATCTCAGTCAAAGCTCGCTAAATACATTGTTTATTCCGAATGCAGGATATTAACCATCTCAGTCAAGGCACGCTAAATACAATGTTTATTCCAAATGCAGGATATTTACCATCTCAGTCAAGGCTGGCTAAATACATTGTTTATTCCCAATGCAGGATATTTACAATCTCAGTCAAGGCTCGCTAAATACATTGCTTATTCCGAATGCAGGATATTTACCATCGCAGTCAAGGCCCGCTAAATACAATGTTTATTCCGAACGCAGGATATTTACCATCGCAGTCAAGGCCCGCTAAATACATTGTTTATTCCGAATGCAGGATATTTACCATCTCAGTCAAGGCTCGCCAAACACAATGTTTATTCCCCAAAACAGGATATTTACCATCTCAGCCAAGGCTCGCTGAATACAATGTTTATTCCCCAAAACAGGATATTTACCATCTCAGTCAAGGCTCGCTAAATACAATGTTTATTCCCAATGCAGGATATTTAGTATCTCAGCCAAGGCTCGCTAAACACAATGTTTATTCCGACTGCAGGATATTTACCATCGCAGTCAAGGCTCGCTGAATACAATGTTTATTCCCCCAAACAGGATATTTACCATCTCAGTCAAGGCACGCTAAACACAATGTTAATTCCGAATGCAGGACATTTACCATCTCAGTCAAGGCTCGCTTAATACAATGTTTATTCCCAATACAGGATATTTGCCATCTCAGTCAAAGCTCGCTAAATACAATGTTTATTCCCAATACAGGATAATTACCATCGCTGTCAAGGCTCGCTAAATACAATGTTTATTCCGAATGCAGGATATTTACCATCTCTGTCAAGGCTCGCTTAATACAATGTTTATTCCCAATACAGGATATTTACCATCTCAGTCAAGGCTCGCTAAATACAATGTTTATTCCCCAAAACAGGATATTTACCATCTCAGTTAAGGCACGCTAAACACAATGTTTAATCCCAATGCAGGATATTTAGTATATCTGCCAAGCTCGCTAAATACAATGTTTATTCCCAATACAGGATATTTGCCATCTCAGTCAAGGCCCCCTAATACAATGTTTATTCCCCAAAACAGGATAATTACCATCTCATTCAAGGCTCCCTAATACAATGTTTATTCCCAATACAGGATAATTACCATCGCAGTCAAGGCCCGCTAAATACAATGTTTATGCCGAATTCAGGATATTTACCATCTCAGTCAAGGCTGGCTTAATACATTGTTTATTCCGAATGCAGGATATTTACCATCTCAGTCAAAGCTCGCTAAATACATTGTTTATTCCGAATGCAGGATATTAACCATCTCAGTCAAGGCACGCTAAATACAATGTTTATTCCCAATACAGGATATTTACCATCTCAGTCAAGGCTGGCTAAATACATTGTTTATTCCCAATGCAGGATATTTACCATCTCAGTCAAGGCTCGCTAAATACATTGAATTCCGAATGCAGGATATTTACCATCGCAGTCAAGGCATGCGAAATACATTGTTTATTCCGAATGCAGGATATTTACCATCGCAGTCAAGGCCCGCTAAATACAATGTTTATTCCGAATGCAGGATATTTACCATTGCAGTCAAGGCCCGCTAAATACATTGTTTATTCCGAATGCAGGATATTTACCATCTCAGTCAAGGCTCGCCAAACACAATGTTTATTCCCCAAAACAGGATATTTACCATCTCTGTCAAGGCTCGCTGAATACAATGTTTATTCCCAATACAGGATATTTACCATCTCAGTCAAGGCTCGCTGAATACATTGTTTATTCCCAATGCAGGATATTTACCATCTCAGTCAAGGCTCGCTAAATACAATGTTTATTCCCCAAAACAGGATATTTACCATCTCAGCCAAGGCTCGCGAAATACAATGTTTATTCCCCAATACAGGATAATTACCATCTCAGTCAAGGCTCCCTAATACAATGTTTATTCCCAATACAGGATATTTACCATCCCAAAACCTACGCCTGGAAAAGACACCATATAATTCATTTTGTTTGGAAAAATATTGATCAAACTCAATATAATACATAATTAATACCGTGTCCATTTCGCCACACCCATTCCCTATACAGTGTTCGGTGTCTGTGAGCATTAGGCAGTCACACCGCAGATGATGGGGAACATGAAGAACATGAAGAACACTCACTTTATCCTTTGATTGTCCGTCTTCTTAGCGTTGGCCTTGACCCTGTTGAACTTTAACATCACGACCACAAGGACAAGGACGTTGACCTGTCAGGTCAAAATTTTAGTTTCATACAACATGAAGGCTAAGCGCGAGTGAATCTGGTTTTACGTTAGTGATTATACATTAAAGTCACATCGGCAATATTCATCCGTGGTGTTACTTGATATTTTATACGTTAACATTGTAGTACAATTATTGGAAATAGCTGGAAATGAATCATTTAAAACTAAACTGATGCCACTGAATTTGGTCAGCTGCACTTTTTACACTTAAGACACTATATTTCAGTTAAAAACTGAAATGTTTGAAAGAATGGATGATCAATAAAATCTGACTCTTTTCATATCAGGTTTATTACGACCTGTTGAAATACTAAAACACTCCTCCTACATCAAGCTAGCACGTCGTGATATAACTGAAATCTGTTCCAACTGGTTTTGTGTACATAACTCCCTGACAGCCCCATCGCCCACTGTGGAGATAGTGAATGAAGGCAACACCTACTTACCGTAAACACCAACAGTGCCGGAACGATAAAGGCAAACACAAGTCCTTCTTCCGGAGACAGCCAACAGCTGAAGAATAGGAAAGTGTTTCGTTTGTTTCTTATCATTTACATCACATTCATTAAACGCGAGTGTGGGCCGGACAAACCAGAGATTGACTCAATGATGATCTCCCTGTCAGGGTACGAGCAATGCAAGTCAACAAGTCGACATACGGTTTGTTTGTTTGTTTGTTTGCTTGTTTAACGCCGCACTCAGCAGTATTCTAGCTAGAGAGAGAGAGAGAGAGAGACAGAGAGAGAGAGAGAGAGAGAGAGAGAGATTCTTTACTTCCTCCAAACGAATGAAGATTACAATATGAAGATATAATTATGTTTAACATGAATTGGGGGTATATTTACACATGTTCATAAACATACAAGTTTTTTTAGCAGGTATCGCCATTTCCTTATAAAGCGGCTTACATTAATTATTACTTCTGCCCACACATCTCTTTCTAGTTCCATGATACATTCTATTGGACATCCACCAAGTAAGGACGCAAGAATAACATCATCATCTTTCTCCCAGATCTTAACAAAAACATTTACATTCAGGATATCACATATGGGATTAAAAAGTAAATTTCGGTCATTCATATTGATCGCGCAGGACATATACACGTGCTTTACAATATCATTGGCAACAGTTTTACGTTAGCATTCTCTAGAGACAGCGCTAAGTCTGTGTTAAAGTATAGGAGTTACGGCAGTCGCAGCGACTACCATAACTCCTATACTTTAACACAGACTTAAGGCTGCGACTACCATAACTCCTATACTTTAACATAGACTTAGGGCTGCGACTACCGTAACTCCTATACTTTAACATAGACATAGCGCTATGACTACCGTAACTCCTATACTTTAACATAGACATAGCGCTATGACTACCGTTACTCCTATACTTTAACATAGACATAGCGCTATGACTACCGTAACTCCTATACTTTAACATAGACATAGCGCTATGACTACCGTAACTCCTATACTTTAACACAGACTTAGGGCTGCGACTACCGTAACTCCTATACTTTAACATAGACTAAGCGCTGTGACTACCGTAATTCCTACACTTTAACACAGACGAAGCGCTGTGACTACCGTAATACCTATACTTAAACATAGACTTAGCGCTCAACTACCATAACTCCTATACTTTAACATAGACTTATGGCTGCGACTACCATAACTCCTATACTTTAACATAGACATAGCGCTACAACTACCATAACTCCTATACTTTAACAAAGACTTAGGGCTGCGACTACCGTAACTCCTATACTTTAACACAGACTTAGCGCTACGACTACCATAACTCCTATACATTAACACAGATTTAGCTCTACGACTACCGTAACTCCTATACTTTAACACAGACTTAGGGCTGCGACTACCATGACTCCTATACTTTAACACAGACTTAGCGCTACAACTACTGTAACTCCTATACTTTAACAAAGACTTAGCGCTACGACTACCGTAACTCCTATACTTTAACACAGACTTAGCGATACGACTACCGTAACTCCTATACTTTAACACAGACTTAGCGATACGACTACCGTAACTCCTATACTTTAACACAGACTTAGCGATACGACTACCGTAACTCCTATACTTTAACACAGACTTAGCGATAAGACTACCGTAACTCCTATACTCTAACACAGACTTAGCGATACGACTACCGTAACTCCTATACTTTAACACAGACTTAGTGCTACGACTACCGTAACTCCTATACTTTAACAGAGACTTAGCGCTACGACTACCGTAACTACTATACTTTAACACAGACTTAGGGCTGCGACTACCGTAACTACTATACTTTAACACAGACTTAGGGCTGCGACTACCGTAATTCCTACACTTTAACACAGACTAAGCGCTGTGACTACCGTAATACCTATACTTAAACTTAGACTTAGCGCTCAACTACCATAACTCCTATACTTTAACATAGACATAGCGCTACGACAACTGTAACTCCTATACTTTAACACAGACTTAGCGCTACGACAACTGTAACTCCTATACTTTAACACAGACTTAGTGCTGCGACTACCGTAACTCCTATACTTTAACACAGACTTAGTGCTACGACTACCGTAATTCCTACACTTTAACACAGACGAAGCGCTGTGACTACCGTAATACCTATACTTAAACATAGACTTAGCGCTCAACTACCATAACTCCTATACTTTAACATAGACTTATGGCTGCGACTACCATAACTCCTATACTTTAACATAGACATAGCGCTACAACTACCATAACTCCTATACTTTAACACAGACTTAGGGCTGCGACTACCGTAACTCCTATACTTTAACACAGACTTAGCGCTACGACTACCATAACTCCTATACATTAACACAGATTTAGCTCTACGACTACCGTAACTCCTATACTTTAACACAGACTTAGTGCTGCGACTACCGTAACTCCTATACTTTAACATAGACTAAGCGCTGTGACTACCGTAATTCCTACACTTTAACACAGACGAAGCGCTGTGACTACCGTAATACCTATACTTAAACATAGACTTAGCGCTCAACTACCATAACTCCTATACTTTAACATAGACTTATGGCTGCGACTACCATAACTCCTATACTTTAACATAGACATAGCGCTACAACTACCATAACTCCTATACTTTAACACAGACTTAGGGCTGCGACTACCGTAACTCCTATACTTTAACACAGACTTAGCGCTACGACTACCATAACTCCTATACATTAACACAGATTTAGCTCTACAACTACCGTAACTCCTATACTTTAACACAGACTTAGGGCTGCGACTACCATGACTCCTATACTTTAACACAGACTTAGCGCTACAACTACTGTAACTCCTATACTTTAACAAAGACTTAGCGCTACGACTACCGTAACTCCTATACTTTAACACAGACTTAGCGATACGACTACCGTAACTCCTATACTTTAACACAGACTTAGCGATACGACTACCGTAACTCCTATACTTTAACACAGACTTAGCGATACGACTACCGTAACTCCTATACTTTAACACAGACTTAGCAATAAGACTACCGTAACTCCTATACTCTAACACAGACTTAGCGATACGACTACCGTAACTCCTATACTTTAACACAGACTTAGTGCTATGACTACCGTAACTCCTATACTTTAACATAGACATAGCGCTACGACTACTGTAACTCCTATACTTTAACACAGACTTAGCGCTACGACAACTGTAACTCCTATACTTTAACACAGACTTAGTGCTGCGACTACCGTAACTCCTATACTTTAACACAGACTTAGTGCTACGACTACCGTAACTCCTATACTTTAACACAGACTTAGCGCTACGACTACCGTAACTCCTATACTTTAACACAGACTTAGGGCTGCGACTACCGTAACTCCTATACTTTAACACAGACTTAGCGCTACGACTACCGTAACTCCTATACTTTAACACAGACTTAGGGCTGCGACTACCGTAACTCCTATACTTTAACACAGACTTAGGGCTGCGACTACCGTAACTCCTATACTTTAACACAGACTTAGGGCTGCGACTACCATGACTCCTATACTTTAACACAGAATTAGCGCTACGACTACCGTAACTCCTATACTTTAACACAGACATAGCGCTATGACTACCGTAACTCCTATACTTTAACACAGACTTAGGGCTGCGACTACCGTAACTCCTATACTTTAACACAGACATAGCGCTATGACTACTGTAACTCCTATACTTTAACACATACATAGCTCTACGACTACCATAACTCCTATACTTTAACACAGACTTAGCGCTTTGACTACCGTAACTCCTATACTTTAACACAGACTTAGGGCTGCGACTACCGTAACTCCTATACTTTAACACAGACTTAGGGCTGCGACTACCGTAACTCCTATACTTTAACACAGACTTAGCGCTACGACTACCGTAACTCCTATACTTTAACACAGACTTAGGGCTGCGACTACCATGACTCCTATACTTTAACATAGACTAATAATCACATAGACTGCGACTACCGTAACTCCTGAAATTAAGAAATTATCGTTCTAACCCAAACATTGAATGATATAAGATGCAAAGTTTCTCATTTTCGTGTCATAACTGAAAAGCCCGGCTGATTCAGCTTTTCACCCGGGACAAACCATCCATATCCCATGGGTAACAGGTAACTTACTACTTTTCATATCCGTACAGATGGTAGGCTTTAATCAGGGACACTCCCACTATGACGAGGGGGGTGAGGTAGGAGACCATCGTGTATCCCACATAGTAGTTCTCCCTATTGAAGACATCCGACACCCGGAAGTAGAGCTCCACCCCCTGCATCAGCATCCACATGATGCAGGCCAGAAACAGGTAGTGCAGCAGGACAGCCACGGTCTTACACAGCATCTGGAATGAGTGAGTGAGTGAGTTGGGTTCAACGCCGCTTTTAACAGTATTCAGTTATATCACGGCGTGTCAGCTCAATGTGGGAGGAGTGAGTGAGTGAGTTGGGTTTAACGCCGCTTTTAACAGTATTTGAGTTATATCACGGCGTGTCAGCTTGATATGGGAGGAGTGAGTGAGTGAGTTGGGTTTAACGCCGCTTTTAACAGTATTCAGTTATATCACGGCGTGTCAGCTCAATGTGGGAGGAGTGAGTGAGTGAGTTGGGTTTAACGCCGCTTTTAACAGTATTCAGTTATATCACGGCGTGTCAGCTCAATGTGGGAGGAAAGTCTGAAGTGATGCAAGCTTCAGTCGTTTACCACTTTGGTGAAACCCACGGGTATAGTGCTGACAAACCTAGAAACATAATCGGGGCGAACCGGGATTCGAACCCACAATCATAGATTTCTGGTGTGCCCAAGGGACGCAACTCTGCACAGCGAATCGCGGCGCCTTAGACGACTGGGCCACCCGTGCCCCCCACACCATCTGGAAGAGGAGGTTCAGAGTGAGTGAGTGAGAGACTATATAGAACATATTGCTTCACATAAATATCTCAGTGCTATCAGGAGGTGGGAGGACTTTGTTTTAACGCCGCTTTCAAAAATTATTTAAGTTGTAGCAGGGCGTGTCAGCTTGATGTGGGAGGAGTGAGTGAGTGAGTTGGGTTTAACTCTGCTTTGAACAGTATTTGAGTTATATCACGGCGTGTCAGCTTGATGTGGGAGGAGTGAGTGAGTGAGTTGGGTTTAACTCTGCTTTGAACAGTATTTGAGTTATATCACGGCGTGTCAGCTTGATGTGGGAGGAGTGAGTGAGTGAGTTGGGTTTAACTCTGCTTTGAACAGTATTTGAGTTATATCACGGCGTGTCAGCTTGATTTGGGAGGAGTGAGTGATTGAGTTGGGTTTAACTCTGCTTTGAACAGTATTTGAGTTATATCACGGCGTGTCAGCTTGATTTTGGAGGAGTGAGTTGGGTTTAACTCTGCTTTGAACAGTATTTGAGTTATATCACGGCGTGTCAGCTTGATGTGTGAGGAGTGAGTGAGTGAGTTGGGTTTAACTCTGCTTTGAACAGTATTTGAGTTATATCACGGCGTGTCAGCTTGATGTGGGAGGAGTTAGTGAGTGAGTTGGGTTTAACTCTGCTTTGAACAGTATTTGAGTTATATCACGGCGTGTCAGCTTGATTTGGGAGGAGTGAGTTGGGTTTAACTCTGCTTTGAACAGTATTTGAGTTATATCACGGCGTGTCAGCTTGATGTGTGAGGAGTGAGTGAGTGAGTTGGGTTTAACTCTGCTTTGAACAGTATTTGAGTTATATCACGGCGTGTCAGCTTGATGTGGGAGGAGTGAGTGAGTGAGTTGGGTTTAACTCTGCTTTGAACAGTATTTGAGTTATATCACGGCGTGTCAGCTTGATGTGGGAGGAGTGAGTGAGTGAGTTGGGTTTAACTCTGCTTTGAACAGTATTTGAGTTATATCACGGCGTGTCAGCTTGATGTGGGAGGAGTGAGTGAGTGAGTTGGGTTTAACTCTGCTTTGAACAGTATTTGAGTTATATCACGGCGTGTCAGCTTGATTTGGGAGGAGTGAGTGATTGAGTTGGGTTTAACTCTGCTTTGAACAGTATTTGAGTTATATCACGGCGTGTCAGCTTGATTTTGGAGGAGTGAGTTGGGTTTAACTCTGCTTTGAACAGTATTTGAGTTATATCACGGCGTGTCAGCTTGATGTGTGAGGAGTGAGTGACATGGGTTTATCGCCAATTTGAACAATATTTCAGTTATATCAAGACGTGTCAGCTTGATGGAAGGAGTGATTGAGTGAGTGAGTTTATCGCTTCTTCGAACAGTATTGGATATGTCACTGTATTGTCACTACGTGTTAGCATGATGTGGGAAGAAAGCCCACGTGTAGTATACTAGTATAATAACAACAAAACCCTTTCAAGAAATAAGAGATATCTGCTAAAAGCAGAGTCCGCTGTTCGAATACGACTGTAGCATGAGCATGTGTTTATGAGTCGCTATCAAACAGTGATGACACCAGGTGTTTCGCGAAAATGCAGTAGGCCTGAGACGATTACATGTTTGGCGAAACCAACGACAAACCTAGAAACATAATCTTGGAGTGACGGAAAAAACATTCTGTGTTAACAAGATATGCCCCTCACGAATATGAAAAAGACGGTCCCTCCTAACCTCGTTGTGGGTCTTGTCAATGCCTGCCAGGAACACCGTCTGGGCCAGCAGTAGCATAAACACCATGTTCTTTAGTATGTACAACCTTCTGGACGCTCGTCTGAAATGGATGTAGTATTCTGACAAATCTGATTCACACTCTCACAGACACAAACACAGACACAAACACACACGCTTACACACATACTCACACACACAGACACGCTAACACACACATACATACTCACACAGACACAAACACAGACACAAACTCACACACAGACACAAACACACACACACACACACACATATATATATATATATATATATATATATATATATATACACTCACACACACATATACACACACAGACACGATCACACAAACACTAACAGACACGCTCACACACACACACGCACTTATACACACACACACACTTATACAAACACACACAGACACGCTCACACAAAAACTCATAGACACGCTCACACACACACACAGAGACACGCTCACACAAACACTCACAGACACGCTCACACACACACACATACACACTCACACAAACACTCACAGACACGCTCACACACACAGACACAGACACACTCATACAAACACTCACAGACACGCTCACACACACACACTCACAGACACGCTCACACACACACAGACACGCTCACACACACACTCACACACACACACACACACACACACACAGACACGCTCACACACACACACGTATATATACACCCACCCACAGACACGCTCACACAAACACTCACAGACACGCTCTCACACACACACACAGACACGCTCACACAAACACTCAAAGACACGTTCACATTCATTGTATACTGACACAATGACACTAGTACAGCCAGACATACACACACATATTTGCATGTACGTCGCTATATAGGTTTATGAATCTTGAATGCGATGTCTCACCTCACCTCACCTCAAAGCACCTCAAAGCACCGCACCTCACCTCACCTCACCGCACCTCACCGCACCGCACCGCCCCTCCTTGTCCTTAAGACTTACCTGACTCCTATCAGCATGAGAAACGTGATTGATAGTGCGGTGAGCGACACGCCGCATCCGATCAGTGACGTCATTTCCAGGCCAGCCATGTCCGATAAGGACACCTAGGAAACACGGAATGGTTACAATGGCATGTCCGATAAGGACACCTAGGAAACACGGAAAGGTTACAATGGCATGTCCGATAAGGACACCTAGGAAACACGGAATGGTTACAATGGCATGTCCGATAAGGACACCTAGGAAACACGGAATGGTTACAATGGCATGTCCGATAAGGACACCTTGGAAACACGGAATGGTTACAATGGCATGTCCGATAAGGACACCTAGGAAACACGGAATGGTTACAATGGCATGTCAGATAAGGACACCTAGGAGACACGGAATGGTTACCATGGCATGTCCGATAAGGACACCTAGGAAACACGGAATGGTTACAATGGCATGTCCGATAAGGACACCTAGGAAACACGGATTGGTTACAATGGCATGTCCGATAAGGACACCTAGGAAACACGGAATGGTTACAATGGCATGTCCGATAAGGACACCTAGGAAACACGGAATGGAAACAATGGCATGTCCGATAAGGACACCTAGGAAATACGGAATGGTTACAATGGCATGTCAGATAAGGACACCTAGGAGACACGGAATGGTTACCATGGCATGTCCGATAAGGACACCTAGGAAACACGGAATGGTTACAATGGCATGTCCGATAAGGACACCTAGGAAACACGGAATGGTTACAATGGCATGTCCGATAAGGACACCTAGGAAACACGGAATGGAAACAATGGCATGTACGATAAGGACACCTAGGAAATACGGAATGGTTACAATGGTATGTCAGATAAGGACACCTAGGAAACACGGAATGGTTACCGTGGCATGTCTGATAAGGACACCTAGGAAACACGGAAAGGTTACAATGGCATGTCCGATAAGGACACCTAGGAAACACGGATTGGTTACAATGGCATGTCCGATAAGGACACCTAGGAAACACAGAATGGTTACAATGGCATGTCCGATAAGGACACCTAGGAAACACAGAATGGTTACAATGGCATGTACGATAAGGACACCTCGGAAACACGGATTGGTTACAATGGCATGTCCGATAAGGACACCTAGGAAACACGAAATGGTTACAATGGCATGTCCGATTAGGACACCTAGGAAACACGGAATGGTTACAATGGCATGTCCGATAAGGACACCTAGGAAACACAGAATGGTTACAATGGCATGTACGATAAGGACACCTAGGAAACACGGAATGGTTACAATGGCATGTCCGATAAGGACACCTAGGAAACACGGAATGGTTACAATGGCATGTCCGATAAGGACACCTAGGAAACACGGAATGGTTACAATGGCATGTCCGATTAGGACACCTAGGAAACACGGAATGGTTACAATGGCATGTCCGATAAGGACACCTAGGAAACACGGAAAGGTTACCATGGCATGTCCGATAAGGACACCTAGGAAACACGGAAAGGTTACAATGGCATGTCCGATAAGGACACCTAGGAAACACGGAATGGTTACAATGGCATGTCCGATAAGGACACCTAGGAAACACGGAAAGGTTACAATGGCTTGCACAACGTAAAGATAGCCATCAAGCGATGCACGACGGCTGAAAGACCTTAAGTAACACAGGACAAAAATACCTTTTTTCGCAATACATTTGGGTTTTAACTGCCCGTTTGGACGTAGGAGTTTGATGATGGGGTCGACCATTTGATATTCTGGGGGGTGAGGGTGGGGCATGCCATTTGATATTCTGAGGGTAGGGTCGACCATTTTATATTCTGAGGGTTGAGGGTGGGGTCGACCATTTGATATTCTGGGGGTTTAGGGTGGGTCTGGTTATTTAATCTTCTCGGGGTTGAGAGTGGGGTGGACCATCTGATAATCTGGGGGTTGAGCCTGGCTCCTGTTTTTAAACAAAACAACTGTACAAAGTGGTCGAAACTTTATTTTGTCTCAAGAAAACTTTGTTATTCATTTCAAATATAAATATGTTCTCGAGCCATTGTGGTCATATGTTTAACATCAGTTGTTCGTGTAGTTCTGGCATCATAAGCATATGGTAAGGCCAGGGCAGGAATAGGCCAGATCAAGGTGCTTCTACTCAGACCTTGAACGATATGTACAGTAAACTACGGTTATAACGAACTAAGGTTATAACGAACTCAAAGGGACCACTAATTTTAGTTCGTAATAACCGTAGTTCGTTATAAGCATATCTACATCATAATAGAAACAAATGGCCGGGACTAAAAAATAAGTTCGTTTTATAGGTCAGTTCGTTATAAGCGTGTTCGTTATAAACGTAGTTAACTGTATATTGAAATGTGGCATTGTTCATCCAATAAACTGTCATGTTATTCCCTTTTTAAAAACAGTTTCGATAGAAAGCAATATTTATTTAATATAACATTTAAGCATTTTGAATAGCACTTGTGCGATTCAGAGGTAGATATATGGGACAACCACAGCAAAAAAAATGCAGTTTCCGGTATCCGGATACCTGCCGGATACCACCGGACACTTACCCAAAACGCGTCCGGGTATCCGGTGGCAGATACCTTGCCGGATACCAGATCTGTGGTATCCGGCATGGACACCTCACCGGAAAGTATGTCACCTGGAATCCGGGTATCCGGCACCGGATACCTCACCGGATACCTCAATCTGGGTGTCCAGGGATCCGGCACCGGATACCTCATTCTGAGTTTCCAAAAACATGTCACAATTTGGGGGGTGCATTTTGTTCAATTAAGTGTGAAACACCTAAAAATATATTGGAAACTAACCATGAAAATTGAACATTGCTGAAGGTATCCGGCAGGTATCCGGCAGGTATCCGGATGCAATTTTTCGAGATGTCTTTCTCCTAGTAAATAATGTTAGCCTGGGCATAGCAGATAGCTGTAGTAATATTCTGTGCTATTTTAGTTGTAAATATCCCCTTGAAGTTGAGATCTATGGGTATGTACTTTTGGTGAAAACATTTCTCAAGTTCATATATATTTCAATTTAGATGTTCAGCGTATTAAATGAAAAGCATTCAGTCCTGGTATGATGGTATCCTTACATATCATCTTCATATTCCCAGTTTGTTTTAGCCTAGTGGTTGAAGCATTCGATTCACCACATCAGGACATTGCTTGGTGTCACCCATCATAATATTGTTTGAATTTTGCTCATAAAGTGGCATAACACCATACTCACTCTGACAAAAAAATGAAAGTCATTGGCTATGTGCTCACTTGGGCCTTTGTTCCTGGTGAGATTAAAAGTTTATTTTGGAACTGTATCAATACTTGTTACATCTTGACAGACGAGTTTCATTGAAGTTCGAAACAGAATATCATTAACCCAAATGGGTGCATAAGACTAATAGCATCCACAGAAAACACCTAATAAAGTACTGGTACATAAAAATATCAATGTAACTTTTCTACTGACATGGAACTAAAAACTTCGTTCAGTGAGCTGTATTAATTGTAGGAAAACATTCAGGGCATTAGTATATTTGATATATGTTAGCACCTATGTTATGAATGATCAATATCATATTTCTTTAAAGAAGCAAAACAAAAAAATTGTTAAGATAAAAATCATATTTATTGATTTTATGACATTTCATTGGTTCAGTAACCAGAGGTGTTTGCAAGAACATTCAAAAACAGAAACAGATGCTTCAATGCCATTTTCTAAATAAACAAATTAGTCAAATCTCAGAAGAATTTCAAGGTAGAAGAATATCTAAAGTCAATTATGTTTGTGCAGTAAACCACAAAAGTCATTCAGATTTGTATAGTCAGCGTCAGTGTACACCACATAAACAGTCTCACTGCTGTGGTATTGATTCCTTTAGACTTGATTAATGTCGTAATAAAACAACCTACAGAATCACACTGATGTGGCATTATTCATTCAGAATCATCACTTTCTGAGGTGAACCTGTTAGTTGTTCTGGGGAGGATTATTCATCATCCGGAGAGTCCTTTGTATGACTTGTCTGATCTGGTGTCATTGTGAAATCCAGGTGCCTGAAACAATTTATAACATCTTTAAAAGCTTGTTATTAAAAATATAAGAAACACACATATATTGACAAAGGGTAAAAATTTGGTTTCTCAATGAGTAAGGTAATGACAATTTATCAAGCAACTGTTAACCAAACCATGTTAACCAATGTAAAAAAGCCATAGCAAACAGTAAATTGTACAGAAAATACAAAATTGTAATTGATCTTCTGAAAACAATTCCTGTAGTGCCATAAGGCAGGCTCACCTGAATTTTTCTCAAATGTTTGCATTACATCAAAACATAAGGAAAGGTAAACAAGGCAATGCAAATTGCATAAAATAGGTTCTTATACATAAAAACAGAACTAAAGTATTTGACGTAATAAGCGTCTCGCTCTAATAAGCGCCCATGGGAATATTTGCTAATATATTGGCTAGTGAACAATCCCAATTAGGACCCTTTCCAATTAATCAATGTATACAAGACTTATTTATTTGCGTATAATACACACTTGTGTGTGATATGCATTATCATATTTTTATCATTTATCCTATCTTTAATTCAGATTAACAATAACGGCAAAAACTGCCAAATATATTGGTCAAGTGTAATCATAATTTAAGTAGTTCTATTTGGTTTTGGAACTTTTCAAGGGTAATTGTAAATCATTTGATTGTTATAAAGTTACACAGTATTGCATCTATCGTCTGTTTCTAAATACAGTGGAACCTATCTTTGACTTGTGTGACATAATTGAATCATACCCCAAGTTCATTATGCATTGTTATGCATCTGCACAGAGTGGTCAAAGTCCTTGTCACACACATAGTTTGCTACAAGGCAGAATCCAATCCAAGTACAGTTGAGACATCAGGCTGTATCCAGACAAACTGTCTGATAACCTCAAGTATGGTCTTGGTCGCATCAAGGGATGTAGCTAATCCTAAATAAACATTAAACAAGTGACATAATCTCTTCTACAGAACACTTGATCAAAGCCTGCCCCACCTTTGATGTTTATCATCTCGTTACGCTCACAACA